TATCTGAAATGCTAGGAACCAGAAGTGTTTCAGATTTTGGAACTTTTTTGAATTGGGAATATTTGCATAAACTTCACCAGTTGCATATCTCTGACCTAAAAATCTAAATCTAAAATACTCTGAAATTTGAAACAGTGTCATGGTAGTGCTTAAAAAGTTTTGGATTTCAGGGTATTGTAGATTTTGGGATTAGGAATGCTCTATCTGTTCTTTTTCCTATTTTATTGTGGTAAAACATATAAAAACATAAAATTTACTGTTTGAAAGTGTACCAGTTCAGTGACTAAGTGCATTCACAATAGCTGGAATTACACGTGTGCCACCATGCCCATCATCCTTCGCCAAACTTATTCCTCATCCAAACTAAAATTCTATACCCATTAAATGAGGACTTCCCATTCTCCCCTTCTTCATAACCCTCATAACCACCCGTTCTACTTCTGACTCCTAATAAAAGTGAAGTCATACAATACTTTTTGTGCCTGGCTTATTTATTTTTACTTACTTAACTATTTATTAAATATTTTTTTTGGCTGTAGATGGACACAATATCTTTATTTTTATTTATTTACTTTTCTGTGGTGCTGAAGATTGAACCCAGTACCTCACGCGTGTGAGGCAAGTACTCTACCAAACTACAACCCTAGCCCCTGGCTTATTTCACTTCACTGTTCATCCAGTGTTGTAGCATTATAATTTTGTTTCTTCTTAAGGTCAAATACATTATTTGAATGTATCACATTTTTTTCACATTGATAGACATTGGGTATTTCCCACCATTTGGCTATACTGAATGCCACTGTTACAAACATTGTTTTGCTCGAATTGTGTTGAGTATATTTGTATTTATATTCAAAGGGGATATTAGTTAATAATTTTCTTTTCTTGTAATGTCTTCATCTTATTTTGATAGCATGGTAATGCTACCCTCATGAAATGAAATGGGAACCATTCCCTTCTCTTCTATTTTCTGAATGAGATTGTTCAGAATTGGTATTATTCCTTCCTTGAAAGATTGGTAGAATTCACCAATGAAAGTATCTGAGTCTAGAATTTTCTTTTTCACAAGTTTTTTTTTTCTTCTTCACAAATTCAGGTTCCTTAATAGATATGGAACTATTCACGTTGACTAATTCTGAGTGAATTTTATGATTTTTATCTTGCAATCATAAATCAGTTCATCTAATTTACTGAATCTATGTGCATAGAATAGTTCATAGCACTTCCTTATTATCCTTTGACAGATAATCCTTTCATTTCTGCTGTTAATTCGCAGAGTCCTCTCTCTCTTTCTCCCTTTTTTCCATGATCAGTCTCATCAGGGGCTTATTGATTTTATTGACTACTTACTTTCAAAGAATCAGCTTTTGGTTTCACTAATTTTCTTTATTATTTTTCTGTTTATTTCATTGATTTCTGCTCTTATTTTTATTTCATTTCTTCTGCTCCTTTTGGGTTTAATTTTTTTATCTTTCTATTTTCTTAAGGTAGAAGCTTGTATTAGTGGTTACAGATCTTTCCTCTTTCTAATAAGAATTTAATGTTATGTTATAACACATTCTTTGGTTGCATCTTAAATGTTCTATTTATGTCAACCATTTCTAATTTCCTTTCCTAATTTGAAATCTGTCATTTCTCTCCACAAGTTAAGTAGTTCAATATATTTGACAAAATATACCTCTAAAGTATACATCTACACATTATAATTTTATTTAGTTGTGAAAAGGAAAACATAGTAAAAAGTTATGCTAGGAGAATAATATAAAAGACATGGTCAAATTCAGCTTTGTTAAATTATTTTTTATTTGAGAGTCTCCTCAGGCATAAGGGTCTCTTTTTTTCTTTTCTTTTTTTTGAGAAAGGGTCCCATGTTGCCTAATCTGACCTTGAACTCATGATCCTCCTGCCTCAGCCTCCCAAGTAGCTGGGATTACACATGTATGCCATGATGCACAGCTGAGCCCGGGATCTTGAAGTTGATTTTTCCCCATTCAAATGATGTTTCCATCTCAAAATATCATGGGTCATGGTATACTACCTAATCTCTTTAACCTCATTATCCTTAGTTATAAAACAGGAATAACACTGTTTCCAAGAAAAAGTTATGGGAATTAAATGAATTAAAACCATATAATGTAATATAATACCTGGCAGACAGTAAAAGTGAACCTTTGTTGAATGAATGAATGAAATTTCATCCTAACTTTAATGAATTTTCACCCTATTTCTTTTACTCTTCCTCTGTTTAGTTCAAATCTCATTACAGTAAAGTTTAAAGACTTTTTCCTAAAATAAAATAATCTACTTTGTGTTTGATCAAAATTCAAAATTTCTTTATTCATCAAATATTTATTGTTTTGGCTAAATGAGGAGAATTTGGGATATTTGAAACCTTCTTTATTTTGCTTTTCTAAATTCATCCTATTCAAGAGAAGGATAGCTATAGCTTTAGACACTGATTTATTTTCCCGTCTAAAAAACTGAGAAAACTCACTATGAACCTGTTATCAACTTCACTACTGTTTACCTGAAATGCCTAAATATGGTCTATGATATACACAGAACAAAGTGAAATGCCAGGACACCAACATGAGATTCTTGACTACACAGAGCTTGAGGGGATAGAGTCTTCTTGAAAGACCAAGAGAGCCAGGTACCATGAAGCTTTCCTATAATCCCACCTACTAAGGAGGCTGAGGTAGGAGGATCACAAATTCAAGCCCAGCCTGGGTAACTTAGCAAGACCCTGTCTTTTAAAAAAGAAAAGACAAGAATATGTCATCAGAGAATATGAAAACTATATGCAATTTATGCAATTATTATATAAAATATTTGAATTATAAAAACATCTAAGAGGCATCTGAGACCTTGACAGCAACTGTGGATACCTTTCTGTGTACCTGTGATGCCAGAGACTGAAAAGACTTTTACAAATAAATAAAAACTAAAACCAAATGACTATAGATACAAAGGCAATCACTATTGACTATTAAGTGTCGGGGGGTTGGGGGGGAAATGAACACAGAAGATTAAGTAGATCCATTCCCTTCTATTCTGTTTCTGTATTCAACTGATTTTAATTCTTTTATATAAAAATTATTAGAAACAATTAAATCCCCAAAGCTGCCTTCAATTTGCATTCATGTTTAATAGTAGAGGGAGTAGTCCAGGGGGTATAGAAAAAGCAAAGAAAAGGAAATCAGAATTTGTAGGTTTGTATATGGGTCTGTCACTTCATTAAGTCTCAGTTTTCCCAATTATAAAATGGCAGTGAAAATGTCTACCCTATAAAGTTGTGATTATTAATTTGAAAAAATAAATGAAAATATGGAAAAATGAATAAATGGAAATAAAACAGTATTATTTGATAGAAATGTAAGGTGAACCACAAATGTGAGCCACATATGTAATCTTAAATTAAAAAATACAAAGAAGCAGGTGAAAGTAAGTTTAATAATATATTTTATTTAACCCAATATATCCAAAATATTATCATTTCAACATGTTGATCAATATAAAATTAATGAGATTTTGTTACATTCCTTTTTTTTGTGCCAAATCTCTGAAAAATGATGTATATTTTACATGCACAGCACAGCTCAACAATATTAGGCACATATCAAGAGCTCAAAAGCTACAGACTACTATAGCAGATAGCAAATATTTAGAACCAAGGTGAGGCTTAATATGTTTATTAGATTCAAATAGTATTTCCTATCAGATAATCCCTGTGGGACTAACGAAAATTATTTTTAAAATTGATATATTAAAGAAATTTTGTATTTTTATATTTTTGGTATAGTATGTGATATGCTATAAAAAAGAATTTAAAATATGATCTATAATGACTAGACCAAGTATTTATACAAAATAAAAGAACAAAATGATTTTGATAGGTCACTAGTATTTATAATTCTATAATTTTTTTGGTTTTTTTTAAGGATTTGAATCATACATTAATTTGACACAAAATCTAATAATGTCAAAAAGGAAAATCTGACATAACTGTAAGCACATAAACAATTCAAACTATATGCTATGATTAATAAAGTATACCAGCTGACAAAGAAACAGCAACAGAAAATATAATATTTCAGAATGTTTCTCTATAGTGAAAGCAAAACTTTTCACTATAGAGACCTTTCATTGGTAGGTCATATCAACAGTATTTTTTCAATCATAAATTACATTGAATAGTACACAGTAGGCAGATTTTTATATAATAAACTTAAAGCAAGATGGAAAACATATAGAAGACATTTCTTAACTTCAAGACCTTTTTGAAAGCTATCTACAAAGCCCAAGTGCATGTGCGTATACACACACACACACACACATATATGTTTATATACTGAGTAGCATGATCTTGTTTTCTAAGTAAGGAGATGCCCCTGAAATTGATATAATTCCATCAATCTTTCTCTGGCCCAACACAAGTGGTCAGATAAGACGTAAGAGTAAAATGAGGATACAATATTAGACAGATGATCACTACCTCATTTCAAATCTGACAAGGACGTTTTGATTACCTAGTATAATTTCAACATAACAGGATTATGAAATTCTTAAGAACTGAAACTCTTTGGACTTCAATTTTTCACTTACTATATATTCAAAGACAGCCCTTCTAGAATACAGGCCCTCTCCCTTAAACATTTTATCAGTGTGCTCAGTCAGAGGTAATACATGAGGAGATAAAGTACCACTGACTGAACTGTTAATTCTATGTTTGGTGGCTCCTACTATGTGTAGCTCTGAAGTCTTCTGACTAAGCATTCATCTCCCGGCTCAGCCTTAAGATCAGTAATAAATTCACATTACAAACAAGACAGGGTTGACAGACTCATTATTTAAACTTCTCCCAATTAAAATGAGGCACCCATTTCCTCCTAACCCCTAGTCACTGATACTAAACAAAAAAACAAAGGCATACTTTGTACAATGTTAAACACTTAGCCAAACTTCAGAAGTAAAACTACCCAATGTATTAAGAAACTCACATCTGGCATTTCTGTAGAGGAGGAAAGGGTCCTGGAGTTGGAAATCCAGGTCTTTAGTAATGGGTTCTGTTCTATTTTCCATGCTCAGCCTATTCATAATGGTGAATCCATGCTTTGGAGAAGCAGACCTGAAAATCACAAAGAGTGTGTGTGTAGAGGGGAGCCAAAACACAAGTTGCTTAGTATATTACACTTGTGGTGTAACTACATGCTGATGTCTCTTTGTATATACACATAAATAAAAGATTATGAAATTCTTAAGAACTGAAACTCTTTGGACTTTAATTTTTCACTTACTATGTATTCAAAAGACAGCCCTTCTAGAATATAGGTCCTCCTCCCTTAAACATTTTATCAGTGTGCTCAGAGGTAATACACGAGAAGATAAAGTACCTCTGGCTGAATATATATACACAAGCAGACTGTATCCATACAAAGCAACACTTCTTTATAATTGACATCATTATGTATTAATTCATATGTAAGACATCACAACTGTCACAATCAGTTCTTGGTAAAAAAAAAATTATACTGTGTGTGTGTGTGTGTGTGTGTATCTTGCCTGTCGATATATATATATCTTGTCCCTGACCTATGTTGTAATTCCTTTAAGACACAGATGGTAACTTTTAAAACCTTATAGACAGAAGCTTTGAAAAGATCTTAGTAGTTCATATAGAGTATACCTCACAAGTACATAAAGAAATTTTTCATAGAAAATATTAGTGTTGGTCTGAAATTGAGAGCTACAAAATCTGTTAGAGAAATGAAGCAACTCAGGTCAATGAACTTGTGAGGAGATGTAGTACCAACTAAAAATTTATGTACTGTTCTAAAGGGTAGATATTTTGTTTCTTCCACCTAAAGCAAACAGTTTCATGGATAAACTACAAGTTTTTCTCAATAAAAATGTGGCATTTAGTGACTTGTTATTTTTCATTTCATTCAATAAATCTTGAATGCCTACTCTATCGGGCAGAACTCAAATTATACAGAGTATAAACACTAACAACTACATGTGCAATTGTTTACCCTTGGGTGACAGCCATACAGTAATTCAACTGTGCAACTTCTGGTGACAAATGAAATGCCACATACTTACACAATGAAACTGAGGCAAGCAGAATTCATTTATTTACTTTAAACTATGGTTCTAGGGTTGTTATTAACAAACCCACAGAAACATTATGAGCAACAGGAAGAAAAAAATGTTTATATCTTAGCTTCATTTCACTTCCAACCATTTGATGCTGATAAAGAAATAAAACACAGCTATGTAACCACTTTCATGATTTTCTTTAAAACCTCCAATTTAAAAACTGATGGAAGGCAATCTTTTCCCAGCTTATTTTAAAAAGAGGTAAAGTGGTGGTAAGTATATACTCAATACCAGAAATAATCATGATAATCATTTAGACTTAGATTCAGAAGGATGAAAATGTACTCCTTAAGAGCTATGACTGAAGATCATCTAGAAAGTTAACTCCAGAAATCATCAGTGGGTCTCTATGAACTGTTATTACAGGTAGGAAGACATGAGAGGACATGAAGAAATCATTCTTCAATTAGGAGTTTCTATAGAAGAATTAGAATTTGATTCTTCATGTATTTCATTATTACAGAAAGGATCTCATATCTTTAGCAGTATGGGTACTATACCATCTCACAGTTCATAAAATAAGCTCAGGGACAGACAGAGAAGCCAGTTGCTCTAAAGAAAACTTGGAAAAGAAGTGAAAGTATATTACTTAGGAGCTCTACTACTTGCAACCTAAACTCCCTTTGAATTTTTCTGTCATTTTCTGCAAAAAGTCCTCAACATACCAGAATCGAGGAGCAGAGAGATTGTAGGAGGGAGCCATGTTGGGTGTGTGGAGAGTGCAGGGACCTATTCTTGAGGAGTTTGATTTGGGGAAGAGATTAAGTAACATATTTTTTCCCCTCAATTTAATAGTGTGTTTAATTACAGCTCCATTAAAGACTTGGAGTATATTAAGAGGTACTTGAAAATACAAAGCTACATTTGGTCTAGCTTCAGGAGAAAATATCTGAATAATTTGTTATTCTTCCATGCTTAAAAAAAGCCCACTAATAATCCCTAAAATCAATCATTAACAAATCTTACTTTCTTAATAACACTTGTGAAAAATGAAAGAGAACGCATATTGTGTGTTGGCACACATCAAAGTTCAATCATTTGGTTTTCTCTTTACATTTCAAAATTTCTCAGAAGAAGTCACACTGTACTGAATAAATTCACTTGGTGATATGCTCTGGTGCTTCTGGGATGTTTTGGAACATAATGTGGCCTAATATGCCAATGATTCTTACATCCTTCTGCCACTTTTCTGAGACAATCTGACCTCCATATTGTCCTGGCCATCCATTCCTTCCTTCCAACTGTTCCTGCTGTCACCACTCAAACTGCTTTCTTGCTGCTTACCCACTGCTTACTTGTCCCCACCCCCAGAGACCACCACTGTTCTTGCTCTGTGCCCATAACTGGCCTCTCCATTCTGTTCTTGTTATGCTTGTTATGGCTGATTCTTCTGTGTCCTTCTTGGCCCTAAAACCCAACCATTAGTCCTTATCAATTTCCTCTTTACACTCACTCCTTCTCTCATAATTTCAACTACCAAATTATTTCACACAACTCTAAACACTCCACCTCTAGCCATCATCCTATCAGAAGAGGCCGAATACCTCCATTTGAATGTCCTGCTACCATTCCATCAGCATTACCTCAAAAAACTGAAGACTAAGGACTGGAGTGGTAGCTCAGCTGTAGAGCATGTGCTTGGAATGCATAAGGCTCTAGGCTCCATCCCCAGCACCATAAACAAACGAAAAACTTACCTTCAAAACAGATTCTTGACCTCTGGTCTTTCTATTCTGACTATGACTTTGTCTTTGTATTCCATATTCAAAAATATTTATGTTGATATTAATTTTACCATTCCCTCTATTTATACAATCCTTCAATGTCCTTTCCATTTTAATTTTGGTCATTCTAGTCTCAACTCTCATCATCATATCTACTCCCAATAATCCTAACCTAACCCTAGTCCTCCCTAATTCCAATGCCTCATAACAATGTTAATACATTTGCATCCCCCTTATTTCCTCAGATACTCTTGTTTATAAACCTTCAGTGATTCCCTACTGCTAGGAAAACAAACTGCAAAATCCTCAGTGCCATTCCATGCCAGAAAATTTCTTTACTTGTCCTAATAAGAACCCGTTGCAATAGATTCATTTTCCTGCCACATGAATGGCACATGCCTGTAATCCGGGAAGCTCAGGAGGCTTAGGCAGGAGAATCATGAATTCAAAGCCAGCATCAGCAACTTAGTAAGGCCCTAAGCAACTCAGCGAGATTCTGTCTCAAACTAAAAAAATTTAAAAAGGGCTGGGGATGTGGCTCAATGGTTAAGTGCCCCTAGCTTCCATCTCCAGTACCCCACCCCAAATAATGAAATAATAATAATTTTCCTTACTGTCCCTTTCATACATTAGGTTCTATGCCTGGCTTTGGCCATTCTTCCTATTGAGACTGCCTGTCCCTTTCCCCTACACATTTAGTTCTACCTCATTTCCTACCAATTCTATAAAACTTATCATCAAAGCATCCCATTCATTGCTTATAACCTATTAAATGGAACTCACGATAGTCTATTCTGTTTTTATATTTTGTGTGTGTATGTGGTGCTGAAGATGGAACTCAGGGCCTCACACATGCTAGGCAAGCACTCTACCTGAGCTACACCCTCAGATTCTTGGTTCATCTTAAATGTGAATATATGTGTAAAGAAAATATACTTGTATTTCCTTTTTCCCCAGTGAAATTGCTACCCCAAGAAGGATTTGCATTTCATATTTTATCTTTGCATTCCCTCACTGAAGGTGGATGGAATTTAACAAAGACATTTTATATGAATGTTTATATGAATAAAACTTTTAGCTATTAAGACAATATACATACTCCAAGTCCCTGTGTATGTGAGTGATGGTCAACAATATCTAAGAAAAAAGAATAACTAAAAGCATGAGTTTATTAAATCTATCCTGATGCATATCACTAACTACACAATGGAGGATGAAAGACATCTTCAATTTTTGACCATAATTTTTTAAACAGTCAAGGGTTGGGAAAGGTGATCAATAAGCCCTTTTCCAAATATTGATTAAATAATCTTAACATTCCTAAAAGTGCACTTCTAGTTCTTTGCCAATGCATTATATTAAAAAACTCTGTATCATTCATTTGAGTCAAAGGATAATTATTTAATACTATTCTAAACAGAAAAAGAGTTAAGTTCAGCTATACTGAAGTTTTAATTATATCCTAAAATTAGTATTCCCTAGAATATACCAGCTAACATTATGCAGTATTCCCTTTCTCCTGTCAACTTATAATTTCAAACTAAGATTCTGTTGTTTCACTTCTTTTTGAAATAAAACTGCACTTGAAGAAGAGTGACATAATTGAACAAAAATATTATTTTGAAGATTGGCAGTTTCTTTTTAAAAGTAAAATACTCTTACCTTGTATACACAAATAAGGTTCCTTCCACATCAGTCTTCTCCTAAAAGATAAAAACCACAATGTGTGCATGTTCTCTTCTTTCACAGAGGCAGAAAAAAACATTAAATTCTTATAGAATACTATAGGAATGACATTTCATTTCAAATTGGTGGATGTAACCCCTGGAGTTATTCTTAGGAAAAGGAGAAAACAAATTCTCGGCCCTAACTGTGACTCTGTTAAGCAGCAAGAAGTGCTCAATCTTTTCATTATCTGTCTTTCCCAACCACAGGGTTAACAACATATCACTATCCAAAACAATAAAAAAGTTAAGTGTGTTCCATGGACTTCATTTAAAAAAAAGAGATGATAACAAGTGTGCTGCCTTTTCCTCCACCCACGAAAGTGGGTATATAGCAAGCTGCACAAATCACTGGTGTCTGCATTTCATTAACCTTCACTTCATTTTTTGGGTTCATCTTCCTTGATCTGCTGATAAGTGCTTTGACTGCTAGAAGAAGAGGGCAAGGATGCTATAGTTTTCAGATGAATAAATCATCTACTTGGTGTGCAATATTTACAGGCAAGTTCGGATCCAAGACCTTTAAAATAAGAGTCAGAAGTATTACCAAGTTAGGACTCAAAAACTGCCTGAGAAACTCTGGGGGAGGTGGTAAAGTTAAACTGATAGTTAACTTACATTTCTTTTCAATTTCTCCAAATGCAAGAACCAGGCCCCTGAGAATAATGGTTATGAATAAAATGCACATAAGTTTCTTTTGTTTAACTAGTAATCAGACTATTTTAGTTCTAAACTTAAAAATGTACTTTTGGTACTTATGTGGCTTAATTTCAGAATTCTATTTAAACCCCCAATATTTTTTGTGTTTTGTTTTGTTTTTGGTGGTGCTGGGGATTGAACCCAGGGCCTTGTACATGGTAGGTAAGCACTCTACCAACTGATCTATATTCCCAGACCCCCAATATTTTATTTTTAATATCCATTTCCATAATCACTAAGAATTAAGCACTGTTTAATTTGGTTAAGCATGCACTCATTAAAGAAAAAAGGTTGTTAACAAATTTTTAAGTCATACAAAAACTGAAAACTTGATCCTTTCACATGCTAAGGTAATTGCAGTAATTTTCATAGTCCCTTTAGTTCGGTGAGTCTCTAAGTATGATTCACAGCTCAGTGGTGGCAGCAGCAGCAGCAGCACCACCTGGAAACTTGTTAGAAATGCACATTCATGGGCTCCTGCCCAAACCCACTGAATCAAAATCTCAGGGTAGCACCCAGCAATCTGATTTTTTATTAAGCTGTCCAGGTGATTCTAAGGCACGGTAGTTTGCAAATAACTGCCTAAGTTCAATAACATATTCTCTGCCCATAGAACACTGTGCTTTGAAAAATACCTTTAGTTGAAATGAAAAATATTAATATACAGAAATATTATTTTTCTTTATAAACAAATGTGGTTAATTTCTGTTGAGAAATCTACATTCTAAGTGCACTCTAAGCACTAAGAATTAATTAAAACTTAAACCACAACAGTGCAAATCACTAAGAAAAGGTCACTAGAGTACAATGTTACCCCTCCTAAGAATTTTTGAGTGTCCTTAAAATTTAATAGTTGGTATTTACTAGTTCACATGCCTTTAAAAATAAATTTGCAAAATCTGAGGATTTGTTATTATTCATTACATTGAGAGGAAACTGAAGCTAAGAGTGATAGACTGTGTAACTAATCAAAACAAACAAACAAACAAACAAAAAGAGTGATAGAGCCAGGAATGTGAGGAACCTATGTGCAATGCCAGGAACCCTTGCCACAGGCCAAAACACTTCACTGTCTTGGGGGCCTGGGACTGTTTTAACCTTAGAGATGCAAACTGGAGTTTCATATGTTTCAGCACACATAAACTAACAGCTACCGACTTCTTTTATGCCACTTCAGCTTTGAAAAATCTAAAATCAGAAAAGGCATGTTTCTTCTGGAATTACTCTCTAACTCATAACAAGCTTTTTTATTGGTACCAGAGATTGAACTCAGGGGCTCTCGACCACTGAGCCACATCCCCAGCCCCATTTTGTATTTTATTTAGAAGACACCTGGCTTTTCCTGAGGCTGGCTTTGAACTGGAGATCCTCCTACCTCAGCCTCCCGAGCAACTGGGATTACAGGCATGGGCCACCCATGCCCAGTTACAAGCAATTCTAAAACCTAGAGTTGTTCTACAAATTTGTTCATGGAAAGGAATTGTTTCAACAATTACAATATGGAGTGTTGCTCTTGCCAGATCAGACTAGGCTAATTAGTTTATTGTTCTAGTTTCAGTTTTTCCATTGGAAAAGAGATAACCAGCCTACATCTCTCAGAGCTTTTACTGAAAAGAGAGAGAGAGAGAGAGAGAGAGAGAGAGAGAGAGAGAGGTTTTAAGAACTCTATGATACCTGGATAAAAGAGGTTCTGGAAATGTAAATTTCTGTTCTATTATGGCTGAGCCAACTCAAATTCATGGATTTTCCTGATCCCTCCACCATTATCCAAGGGCACCCAGGTTTCTTTTTTTTTTTCTTTCTGAGCAAAGTCTAACACTGGGAGTTAAAACAGAATTTTATTAGATCTTCCTTAGATCCTCCAAGTAAGGAGGACTTTCATGTTAAAGTATCAGCTCATGGTTCTGGGATATTTTAACATAAATTTGAAGGGTACAATTTAATTAAGTAATACTATATTATGAAATCTAAGTGCTAAAGAAATAAGCAGTTGGAATTTCAAAACAAAAAATAACAGTGGAATATATAGTAATGCTGTTATAAACTATTGGGACTCAGCACATGCATGACACTTTTCAAACAACTCAAAGCAATCTCTATTTTACTCATTATTCTAAGTTAAAATATTGAAAATGCAGGCCTCCATTTGTCTTTCCAAATCTGTCTCTCTCCATCATGCATGTAGCACCCGAGTCTCCTTTGAAGCTTTCAATAGTATCAAATGACTAGGCCTCATTTTATCCAGACGTTTTGATTTTGTGGGTTGCACTTCTAAAAACTCCATGTTATTCTGATACATATAAACTTAGAAAACCATTAGCCAGAAACACAAGACACTAGTCACTCTAAAATAGTTTCTCAGGCTTAGCGCTTTTGAGGTTTTGGACCAGTTTGTTGTTGTTGTGGGGTGCACAATAATGCCTGTACATTGCAGAATGTTTAGCAGCCTTCTTGCCCCTCAGTGTGACAACAAAGTCTCTTCACATTGCCAGATGTCACCTGGGGGCAAAATCAACTCCAGCTAAGAACCACTGCTCCAAAGACTGAGATTATAAAAAAAACAATACCAGGGTTATACCCTTAAAGTTTCACAAATGTATTTTGGGAGAGCAGTCCTTCTTGGCAATGGGGAGGTCAATCTCAAAAATTTCTAGTCATGACATCTTTCTTAAACCTCTTTTTTTTGGGGGGGGGGTGCTGGGGATCAAACAAACCCTGGGCCTTGAGCATGCTAAGCACATAATCTACCACTGAGTTCCTTCCCCCAGCCTCTTGGTCCAGGCAGTTCATTCTTTCTCCACCCTTCATTTTCAATTTCTCCTCCTTTGAATGCCTGCTGTCATTCCTCATCTATTTCCAGTGTAATAAGAATACCCCTCCTTTATATCTCACCAGTCTTCTTCCACACACTTTCTCTTCCATTCTCAAGAATGTTCTTTATACTTTTATTAGGTTTGCATTCAGAAGGCTCCCACCCAGAGACTTGAGTGATGTCATCTGGAGAGAGTAGTGACAATTTACTTGCCCCCAGTCACTGTTTTGCAGCTGAACCTAGGTCTCTCTCTTTTGCCTGGCTACCACAGCCTTGAAGATTAGTACTTTGAAAGAATGACCTTTTACTGAATGAATTATGCCCTGTCTGAAGGCAACAAGTCCAGGAAGCAGGAAAACATAACTCCTGTAAATAATGCATTGTGACACTTCTGCCTTTTGATGAGGCTTTTGTTGATGGGCTTCACTGGATATCTAGTAAATCTCTGCAAGGATTTTAAAAGATCTCTATCACACAGATAACTGTCAAGGGCCTTTAGGCAACTACTGTTATTCAAAAGAAATGCTCTACTATATGTTAACAATTTCCAGGGATTCTCAACTCAAAGCCTAATGTCAAATCAGCTAACTGTCCTTATCAACTACAGAGTAACTGTTACCAAATTACCACATTATACCTTCAGCATTTTTTTTATAGAGCAGTAAAATAGCCACATGTAACTATACATTTTTAATAATTACCATGGAGAAAATTGTCTGCTATATTGCTCAATCCTTTTTATATAAAGACCCAAGTGATAAATTTTCCTGGAAATTAGGGGGAAATGGTCCCTCTCCTGAGCAAGTGGAACACTTCCTAATTACAGAATAATAATTATAGGGTCTCCATATTTTAGTTTTGGATTTGGCTACTAATACAGCAGATCTTAATTCTTTGCCTCATTTAAGAACTTAGTGCAAAACTCTCAAGAATTTTGTTATTAACTTAGGGCAATGGGCTGAGGATGTAGTTCAGTGGTCAAGTGCTGGCCTGACATTGATGAGGCCCTAGGTTGGAGGCTCAGTACAGCACACACACACACACACACACACACACAAACAAACAAACAAAAAAAAAACTTGGGGCAAAACTGTCCTCCTTCTCCAATTTTTGTTCCTTTATTTACATATTTAATTTTGTGGAGCTGGGGATTGAATTTAGGGCCATGCACATGGTGGGCAAGCCTAACTTCCTGCTAGCCTTTCAGTGTCTTTTTATGTTAATTATTTCCAGGTGTTTTTATTACAGGCCACTGAAGATCCACACTGGAAACAATGTAGGCTAATGAATGTGTTAAAAAAAAATAATATTTGCTCAATATGGATGTTTTCTTTGCTCCAATCTTGATGTTTCTCACTTTGAGAACACATCAAAAAAATTCATCAGAAATCCTTTCAAAATAAGTTCTTTATACCGTTTTGTAACTTTTAAAAAATGCCGGATGGTTACATAATGGATAGATGAATATTATTTGGTAGGAAAATCACCGTGAGGAAGCAGAAAAGTACTGTCTACTGTCAAAGGACGGGGTGTAAATCTACACGAGGCGATTCCAAAGCGGGGGGGGGGGGGAACCCTCCTCAAAATGTCTTGCACTCCTATGCCATTCTAGTTGTGAGGAAAATTAAATTGCACTGCATTACTATTTACTGGGGTTCAGCTTGGAGAAGAGCACTAAAATAATTCGGCCCCCAAATGGATCAAAGGCTATGCAACATTAAATCTGAGAACCGTCAGCCTCCTTCTAAGTATCTGACCCCAAAGCATTTTGTATTTTATTCCCCCCTTTGCTTCGTGTTGCCCCTGAGTTTGTAACTTCAGATTCTCCCCTTCCGTCAGGGTTGGTTTCTCTTGGCCCCCTCTAGGACTGAGGCTCCAGAACTCTTCCCATTCGTCTCCTATCCTGCCTCCTCTACCGCCACCGTTTCACAGTAACAGTTGCATTTTCTCGGAGCACATCAGTCTTCCGGCCTCAAGGCATCAGGTGCTCTCCATCAGCTCTCGGGGTCCCCCGATCGCTCTGGTCTCCCAACGTGGGGTACTTCCGATCCCCAACTCCAGGGGGATCGGCCTGCCAGCCTCCCTTCCCCCCAAACCCAGGGGGTCCAATCTCCACAACTTGGGCCGCAGGACCCAGATCTACCGCCGGCCACCTCCAGTGCGTCAGCGTCTCCTCCCCTCGCCCGGCTCCACGAGCCCGGAGTCGGACCCCCTCCCGCCCCCGCGCCCCGGTCCCGCCCCAGCCCTGGACTGCACCACCCCATCGCGTCCGCACGCACCCACTCGTTGGCCCGATGGCCGAAAGTGTACAGGGCCACCTGGCTAGCCACGTCCACGATGCGGTTGATATAGGGGTCGTGGCGCTGCAGGGCTGCTAGGCTGATGTCGCGCCCCTTCCCCACCAGGCCGCCCGCCGCCACAGCCGCCATCTTCCCTCCCTCCCCGACAGCTACCGGGGCTCTGTGAAGCCACTCTCAATAGATCGCGGAACAAGAGAGCGGCCTCGCAACTAAAAACCCCTGGCGACCACAAGTCCAGGGGAGGCCTTCCGCCCTAGCCGCCTGCCGCCCGCCGCAAGGCATTACTAATCGATGGCCGCGCCCCCCCACACCCGATCGTTGCCACTGGCAACGACAAGCCGAGACGTGACTCTGGATCCCCGAGTGATTTTGTTGTTGCTGCTGTTGTTTTACCTCCTAAGCTATTTTCTTCCTACTTGAACCTTTCAGTTGTGTGTGCGGTAGGGTTTCCCTCTTGGATATGTTCGACGACTTGTCATGTCTCTTCTTTGGCGCTTAGACATCAGACCTAGAACAAATAAATAAGCTTCAAGCATTAATAATTCAGAAAATGAAGAGAACTGTGATTCTGAATGTGCTACACGCAGTGGTTTCTCTTAGTGAGGTCTCCAAGCCCCTTTGTGGGAGTGGGGACGGTCTTTGAAACCCTTTCAGGCGTTCTGCAAGGTCAAAACAATGTTCAGGACTATGCTAAGACTTACTTGATTCGTTCACTATGATGACATTTGCACCAATAGTGCAAAAGCTGTTGATTGGTAAAAGTGCTGGTAGCTCAGTTTGGACCAAGGCAAGGCCACCAAACTACAGTCACCGGTGAATATATTCTTCACTGTTGTTTATTCTCAGTTAAAAAGAAAGGGGAAAAAATAGGAAGAAGATCAAGTCAAATGTCGCCTGATAAAGAAGTAAAATATATTAATTTTGTTAAAGTTCAGTCCTTGGGTTTACTTCTTAATATTCTGTGTGAAAAAATAGTAAGCATGCCTAAAGCAGATCTCCTGAATACCAAAGTGCCCTGTTTGTCTCCAGGAAAATTCTCCCATGCTTGAGTTGTGAGCTGAATTAGTGTCTTTCCCCCCGCCCAAGCCTTTTTACTTTTTATTTTTTATTTCTTTGCCATTATATATGAGCTCTTTTTTGCATTATAATTCTTAATATGCCTTTATACCACCATTTATTATATCTCTGTTTGTATATAAGGTATGTTGATACCAAATTCACATCTTCATACATGAATTTTGTACAATGATGACCCTCTCCTTCCACTATCCTTGCTATTCCCTTTCTCTCTCTCTTTCTCTCCCACCCCTGTTCCCTATCTAGAGGTAATTTTCCACCCATGCTCACATTCCCTACCCCACTTTGAGTCACCCCCTTATATCAGAGAAAAATTCGGCATTTGTTTTTTGGGGATTGGCTAACTTCACTTAACATAATCTCCTCTAATGCCACCCATTTCCCTGCAAATGCCATGATCTTATTCTTTTTTAGTGTTGAGTAATATTCTATTGTGTATAAATGCCACATTTTTTTTTATCCATTCATCCACTGAAGGGCATCTAGATTGGCTCCACCATCTATTGTGAATTGCGCTGCTATAAACATTGATGTGGCTGTGTCCCTATAGTATGCTGTTTTTAGGTCCTTTGGGTATAGTCTAAGAAGAGGAATAGCTGGGTCAAATGGTGGTTCCATTCCCAACTTTCCAAGAAATCTCTATACTGCTTTCCATATTGGCTGCACTAATTTGCAGTCCCACTAGCAGTGTATGAGTGTACCTTTTTCCCTGATCCTCGCCAACACTTATTGTTGTTTGTCTTCATAATGGCTGTCATTCTTACTGGGGTGAGATGTATCTTAGAGTTGTTTTGATTTGCATTTCTCTGATTGCTAGAGATGATGAGCATTTTTTCGTATATTTGTTGATTGATTGTATATCCTCTTCTGAGAAGTGTCTGTTCAGGTCCTTGGCCCATTTATTGATTGGATTATTTGGTTTTTTGGTGCTTATCTTGTTGAACTTTTTATATGCCCTAGAGATTAGAGCTCTGTCTAATGTGTGAGGGGTAAGAATTTGTTCCCAAGATGTGGGCTCTCTATTCACCTCACATATTATTTCTTTTGCTGAGAAGAAATTTTATAGTTTGAATCACCCCATTTGTTGATTCTTGGTTTTAATTCTTGTGCTATAGGAGTCTTATTAAGGAAGTTGGGGCCTAATCCCACATGACGAAGATTAGGGCCTACTTTTTCTTCTATTAGATGCAGAGTCTCTGGTCTAATTCTTAGGTCCTTGATCCATGAATTAGTGTTTTAATTTTTACTTTCATGGAGCACTATTTTTACTTGAAAGATGGGTCAGCTATAGTTATTCAGGCAGGCATTTAACAGACATTTTTCAGAAGTAAAGTTCACCCATTACTTCCAGGAAAACAAAGGACAATTATTGTTGCCAATGATAATTTTTGAGCCTTCAAGTGGGAATTAACATATGTATCTACTGCCATGAGCTTGACAGCTTCTCAATAATGAAGCCTTTTCCGATGAGATCAGTGGTGATATTGAGTGTAATTTTTACAAATATTACATAACGAAAAGTGTCAGCATTTGAAAGATCTCCTTAACTCAGTGACCTAATATTTCCTAAATGACCAAATGTCTCATGTTACATAATCATGCATAGGTAAAAGACACATTTAAGGACAAGGTGGACTCATAGATTTTAATGTACCAGAATATAAAAAAAATTATTAGATAGGAGGATTCCAGATAGCACATTGCAACCAACCTTTGAGAAATGTCCACATGCCAAGTTTTTCTGTACTATCAAAGAAGGATATCCACAATTTTTTGAAAAGACTAATAAAATAATCTTTCTTTTTTTCAACTACATTATCCATGTGAGGCTAGAGTTTCTTCATATACTTCAACCAGAACAGTGATAGAATATAAGTAGAAATATAAGTGACAGATTATAAGCAGAAACAGGTATGGGAATCTAGTTGTCTTCTATTAAGCCAGGAATTAAAAATATTTGCAAAAAATGTAAAATGTAAAAGAGGATAAAGAGGGCTTGAGACTAAAAATGTTGAGAACCATCGATGTAAGGCATTTACTTAGCACTAAGAAATCTTTACCTACATTCATGAACTCAACCTATTTGATACAGATAGGGTACACATGGATTCTCAATAAATTGTAATATAATCTTTTTAGTGACAATATAAATTTTATTGAAATTCTTAGTTAAGCTCCATTTTGGATCTTGTGTCCTATCTACATCAATTCTGACTTCCCAGTGGTAAAGAATGCTATAGGGATGTCCAAATATTTTTTTTGACTGGTGCTGGGGCTCAGTTTTAATCTGACCTACATCATGTATTTATGTCTGATATTAACTGAAAAAAAGTTTCATGAAATAATTCTAAGTGATATAGATAAATGTATATATATATTTCATTTTTAAAGTACTGTTTTTGACTCTTTAAATAGATTTTTTTGGTTACCTAATGCATTGTAACTTGAAGTTGAAAACCATAGGACTATAGCAACTGAAAAACCCTAAAAATATAACTAGAAAACTTCCTGTGATAGTCAGCTGGCTTGTTTGCAGTATCAGTGAGATTTCTTTGCCCTTGATCACATACTTATAAAAGTGAGCTTAATTTGTCATATGGGCAATGGGGAATTTTCTGATTAACTCTTGGACTAATCTGATACTCTCTCACACTATTAGCTCTTCTAATTTTGATCATTCTCTATGAACCTACAGCTTCTACTTTGCATTTTTCTCACCATACAATGGGGTATTGCTTTCTCTTTCCTCAGCTTCTGCCCCTTAGGTTTCATGATCCTTATGCAGATAATTTTCTTTTTAAATTTTCAGTCTTTCCATCTTTAAAGAGTAAAGTACAAATTCTGCCCCCAAAAGAACCAACTGCTTTGGGCTCAATAGAGAAAGTAGGTAAAACTGAGGGCCATTATAGTATGTTAAAAATTCATTTAAGAATGTCCTACAGTCACACAGCACTTACTGAGAGCCCACTGGATGAAATCCATTCATTCATTCTCCATGATTTATTATTGCTTGCTGTGTCTGTGCTAAAATCACAGGGTGATAGCCTTCCCAGACCCTCATCTCACAAGTGAGTATGATGTACATCCTGCTACCTTGCTTATTGGTAGGTTTACATCTGTGATCACCACACCAACCTGATTCTTATTAAACAGAGTTGATTTTTGTTCTGCTTAGAATTAGTGAAGGAAATGAACCTGTCTCCTGCTTCTGTCTTCTTGTCTCCAAACCCTTTTCTCCTAAGGATCTTACACATTGTCATCCTAATTCCTTTGTCCATTTGTCCCCTTACCCTAGAATGAACTTTTCCCAGAAAACTTACCTGCTGCCTCTTTCTCTCATACAGTCTTTTTTTTTTCTTTGATTTCCAGTGCATTCTTGTTGCTATTGCTGTTTTTTTGGGGGGGAGGGTATTTAACTTTCTTTCTCTGAAATGTCAGGATTTATTTAATTATTTAGTATGCTGCATATATCTTCCCCAATTCTAAAAAGGATAAAAATAAGAGTCACCAATCAGAGGGTGAGAGGAGGGGAGGGAAGGGAGAAGTGCTGGGGAGTGATACTGGTCAAATTCTGTTGTTACATTGTGTGCATGTACAAATATGTAACAACAGTTCCCATCATTATGTACAACTTTAATGCACCAACAACAATTTTTGAAAAAAAAAATGAGTCACCATAATAACAAAATAATTGTTTGCTTTTCTTGACAGATAAACAGAAAGGGGGCAAATAGTAAGTTTCATGCAGCAATTTTAAATTTTTTATGTGCTTGTTTATTTTTTATGCCCTTGCAGTTTCCCAAGCACTTAGTCCGATGCTTTGTGCATAATAGAGAGTCAATACATGCTTGTTCTATTGAACTAAACCAGGAATCAGTTGACTTAACTCATTAAATATCAGCCTTTATTATTTTTTTTCCTTAAAGAGTTCTTGATTTATAGAATGCTGAAATGCAAACTGGGATAAAAGAACACACGATAGTAAATTCTGGCCTTTTTGTGTTTATATTCTAAGAAAGATAGAAATAGAAAAGTCTTTATTTTGTTATTTTTGCCTTTAAATATCATTTATAAAGACTTAAAAGACCAAAAGTCATACTTGGAAAAGATAAATAACGTTGCATCGACTTTAGCATAGCCATATTATTTGTGTCCCT